CACACACGTGAAATCGTAACGAGTAAACTCGGATCTGTCATCGCAGATTTTCCATATCGCGCACCTCTGACGGACGTAAGCGAATATTTTTGCGCCTGTGCGCGAGCAACCCGGCCGGATATGCATTTCGACGAACACACGTTTCCCCCCGGAAAATGCATCGAAGATCCACCAAGCTTCCGCGAGCTTGGTGGATTCAGAGACGAGGAAAATTTTAAAATGTTGAAATAAAAGGATAAAAGTTTATTTCGACGAGTAATTTATTATTTGAAGCGTCGAATTAATTATAAATCCGAGATTATGCGAAGATGCTGTATACATGGTAATTGCGAACAAATTTTTTTCGGAGGAAATAAAGTAATTTTATTTATAATAATTAATTTTTCAGTTAGCTTTCAATATTGATTCGAATGATTACACTTTCGTGGTGTTGTAAACGAATAATTCTCGTGTTTTAGAGAAGGGATGGATGATTGATAAGGGAAATTTTGTTTCGTTGGGAAAGGTTTGTTTGTTGAGAAGCTTCGTATCGGTTTTTCTCTCCTCTTCGCAGTGCTGCTGATTCCTTTTGATGTATCGAAGGTTTCAGGATTGATGGAACTGGGGATTATTTTGCGCGAGAGAAAGAAATTTTAGATTTTGAAGGAATGTGAAGAGAAATATATTTGGAAACGGAGAATTTTGTGAATGAGAAGAGAAAATCTGATAAGGATCATTTCTTAATCAAAATTAAATTTATGGAATATTTCTTTATTCATTGACTTACGATATACATTATCCAGATTATCCAAATTTCCAATCAAACTCTCCTTATTATCGACAAATTAATTTTTTAACGAGAGTTCATTAAAAAAATAATCTAACAATCGTATGAATATTCTTTCTAATATCTCATTCTATCTTCGTCGAAAGATTTTCATTTTAATCCTTCTATATGTATTTATAGAATATAACGCGTGATTGAAAATACAACGATGACGTAGTAACATGTTGACGGATTAAGCAGCTAGAACGAACAGAGCACAGATTTATATTATCGCATATAGATACACGAAATACCTGTAATATTACGTAACTCTCCGCGCGGTGGAAATCAGTGATCGTGCTCAACCATTCCATCTGACAACGCTTCAGTGATCTGGGTCAACAATAAAGCCGACGGTTTCAAGTATCTCGAGATACTCTAAGATTAAAAATACGAATCTCGAAAAATTGAGATGCTAATATATATATATATATATATATATATATATATATATAAATATTC